TGGTTTTCCAGATTCCTACAACAGTGGGGGAGAAGTTATCTTGACAGAAGAAACCAGACATGATCAAAAGTACACCATTTGGGGGCTGTTAGTTCAGCTCAGTGGTAGAGCACTTGCCTAGCATGTGAGGCACTGGGTTTGATCCTCAGCACCACATATAAATAAAAATAAAGGTCCATCAATAAACAAAATTTTTTTTCAAGTACACCATCTTTGTATCTTACAACTACTCAACTTTTGAAAAATAAGCAGGGAGGGATGTCTATACATTTAACTAAGTTTTAGTAAGTCATTCAATTAATAATTTTTTAAAAAATTACATTCTGATCATTAGGAATTTTTTTCCATGATATTGCAGAAGTTATATTTAGCTTACCTCTCTTGCTACAGCTCGTTTTGGCTCAACCACTCTCCCATCAATTGAATGAGGTCTTGCAGCCATGGCAGCATCAACCTCAGCCATGGATGAGAAAGTTACAAAACCAAATCCTCTTGATCTTTTGCTTGCAGGATCCCTCATAACCTTTAAGACCAAAAGGAAATTTTAGCATTTAAACTAGCAACAAATTAGAACTTTTACTGTGAATACTGAGTTGAATACTTTCTGTATGAGTCACATTTTAATCACAATTCCAAGAGATAAAGGGCTAGTGTCTGCAGCCAACTTTCCAGTTAACCTACCACACAATCTGTAAGTTTTCCCCATTGCTCGTAGTAGTTTCTTAAACTTTCTTCTGTGGTTTCAAAACTTAAGCCACCAATAAAGAGTTTACGGAACTGTTCCTTTTCTCTCTGCGAAGGAAAACACCATTTCAATTTTTATTTACATTTTCTCTTTGTATGCAGGAAATTAAATTCTTAAATATGAGGTGACCTGCTGGCAGAGTACCTTTTTCCTCTCCAAAGGAACAGTTTCTAAAGTTTTCTGGGGGGGAAAAAAAAAACTTACATCAAATTTAAACCATATGTTAAACTGCATATTAGTGTGTTACACCAAAAAAGTTTCAGCTGAACAATACAAGTTTCAATGTCACTAAAGCTTGATTTAAATTTACTTCACATTAAATTATTTTAACCCAATTAAATATCACGTAAATTTTTACAACTTTCTGAGGAGAAACAATCTATTCCACGGTCACTGGAGGGTTATTAACAAATTCTTAAAATTTTCATTCAATTCTATATCCTAAAACTACGGTTCACTTTACTCAACCTAGAATTCTTCATATAAAGCCAAAGCTTACCAACTTATTTCAGGATTCAGTACCCAAGAAGCAACATTCCCGTAACTGCTCCCTCTAGTGGTGACTACAAGTATCTAAACCTAATGAAACCACTGAAGCAAGTTTCTCCATGTAACTTTAAGATTAGAAAAAAATTAACATTCAAAATGTGCATATAAACCTTAACTTTAACCTCTCATAATCAGGCAAATTGTTTTGACCAATAACATTTTTAAAAAGTTTAAAATGCTGGTTTTTTTGGCGGGCACTCCATCAATTTGGTTACTTGAGTGACAGTACAATGTCAGCAAATAAACAAAAAAAATACATTAATAGATCTCATTTCAAAAATTATAAAGTTTCATATTATAACACAATCACTTACTTGCTCAATTAAAGCAGTTCAGGCTCACCAAACTTGGCACCCATCCGACTAACCACAAATCTTAAACAGTACAAAATAATGGGCTGAAATCTTTTAGTACCCTCAAACCAGCAAAAAATATACTGGATTAAACAATCCTTAATTTGGGGCAATTACTAAGGATGACTACTACAACTGGGCTTATGCAAGATACATTAAAAGGTCAAATATGAGTACAAAAATAATCTTCCTACTAAAGCAGCTCTACTGCTCTCCACACCATTTTATGGAGGTTCTGGCTCCATGCAGTATCCCATCTGCACATAAAATGATTAAAGGTTCATTTAGACTTTTTTTTTCCTCTGCTTAGTTTTGAGGATTCTGAAATTTTAAAAATAACAAGTTATCAAACTAGTTCTCTTAAAATTTTCAGTTTCTAAACAATGGCTATTCAGCAAGACAGTTTCCACCTAACTGCATTTACTGTTAGGTGTTCTAATTAGATCATTAAATCCATAAAGTATATCTACAATTCTTACGTATCACTACAAAAAGCAAAAACTCATTACTTACCTCAGTTTTTTCCAAACTTACCCGAAAGTCGACTATCGATTATAAACAAAGTTACTTTATAAATGTACTTAGGGTCAAAGAAAATAATCAGGAAGACCCCCTTCGCTTGAAACTTATGCTTATCAATGTAATGATCAACCATGATTGCAAACAAATGAGAAAAGCAAGTGACAAAGTTCAAACACAGTGGTCCATGCCTAAAACAGTAATTTACATTGCAATACACGCATTATGAAGGACCGAGCAATGTTGTAATCTAAGTACAACTAGAATAAAACACGTTTTTGCTTCACTTTCTTCATAACTTCTGGCATATGTTGTAAAGTAAGGACCGGTAGTTTTATCCAGTAAGGTTCAAGCTTCCCAGTAAAAATATTTGAAATACAAATAAATTCCACCACTCAAGCAGAACACTTCAGGGCAGTAAAAGGACTCTAAATGAATACTCCTCCCCCCCAATGACCCTCCTCGTTGCCACACTCACTCTCGGTACCGAGGGCTCCAATTTTTTTTTCACGTCGAATTTGCTACAATTCGACTGCTCTTAATCAACGCATACCCAGATAAAACCATTCGTCTTAAAACATCAAGGCCGGGAAAAGTGGTTTCTTTGTCAAAAGCTCGCGGAAACAGCGCCCAACGCCCTAGGTGGAGATACCTTCTCTGAGCCCGCGCCAACAAGCCCTGCGGAACCCCCCCCCTTCTGTGTGGCTTCTGAACGCAATGGCGCCATTTCATCGAGGGGAAGGCAGAGCGCCTTAAACGAGGTGCGCAGGACGCTATAGATCCAAGCTCACAAAGCACTCCAAATCCACCTCGAAACGATATGAAAACAGCCCGAGAAGAAAAAAAAATAGTTAACTACTTCTATGCTTTGATAAAAGAATTAAACTAGTAGAATTCAGAGAGTTATAAGAAAATCGCTGCGAAGAAGGAAAGACAGGAAAATGGCGGCCGCCAAATCCGGTTCCCGGGAGAGGGGGGGAGGGGAAGCTCCGCAGACTCGCTCACGAGGGCCCGATGCCCGCCGAAACGCTCAAACGCGTAGTAGCCCGGGTCCCCAAATCAGGGGGCCTTAAAAAAGGAGTGCTATTTCCCACTTGCGCTCCCCGCTTCCACTAAAAAAGGGCCGCGGCCGCCATGTGGAAGTTCCCCATCCCCCACCCCAGTACAGGGAAATGGCGGCGGGAGGCTGAGGGTGGGGAAGGTGTTTGTACGGATCAGGCCTCCGCTATCGACCCCTCTCGCAAACACCGAAAGGCCAAGCGCTACTGAAGCGGCCCGGTTTCCTGCCACTCTCCCATGGAGGCGGCGGGCCGACTTCTACTGCGGCGCCAACGGCCTCGCCATGCCCTTTCCAATAACTCATTGATTTCAAACCCGTTACCTCCATCGCGGACTCAGTCGCTTCAGCCCGATTTCCCGCAGCCGAGCGAGATGAGAGAGATCTCCGCGGACGAACACGAACCGGACTCGTCCTGGCGCTGTAGTGAGAACTGCCGCTGCTCGAGAAACAACACCGCCAAGAGCACCTCCACTCGGGACCCGGCGCTGCTGCTACTGCCGCTAGAGCCGCTGCCGCCGCTTTTCTAGAACCTTCCCCCCGACTAACGCGTCCTCCCCTACGTCAGGCCGTTACGTAAACGCCCTAACCGCCGCCAATGGCGGGAATGCGCTACGCCCTCCTTACGCCGAGTACGTGCTCCTCCCCCCAACTCTGCGGATAGCAATAATGCTTTACGTCACTTGCGTAAATTGATTCAGTGAATTGCGGAAGGCTCGAGTCCTCCGTGTTAATCCTCTCGGAATTAAGTCCAGCCCCCGCCTTAGCGCAGGGCAGGTGAGAAACGGTCGCGCAGTTTGAAATTAACGCTGTCGGGAGGAGCTTAATCGGCCGCTCAGGTCCGGCCCCCTGATCCCACACGTTCCCCTAGCTGCTACACCTTTGATAATCTTATCCCCCTCGCTTCTCCCGCCCCAAAAACCCTGTAGCAAACCTTCGTTTTCCCTCCCCTAACATATGGTAACTGACTCGGCCCCTTCCGGAAACACCCGAGGAGACGTCTAGTCAACAATTTACACTGTTCATGGTGCACAAACCAAACCCTGGACAATGCCTTTGGGGCTGACCACTCGGATTCAGGAGAGTCTTTTCCAGAGGGGGGATGCGAGAGCGACACTCGTCCTTTGCTCCCTATTCCCCCCTCTGCATTGGAGGCACCCTCTCCGAGGGGTGAGGAAGTAGGCGGAGTCCGGTTTTGGCGGCACCCGCCGCTACTGCGACACAGAAAAGCCAAAGAAAAAACTCTGGTCGCAGTCCTCGCCCCTCCCTCTCCACCCTCTTGGGGACCCCCCCCCAGGCCGCAGCCGCGAACGGTAAGTGCCCCGGTTGCCGGCGCCACGGACTTTTTCTATCTCCCTAACCCCCTCCTTGCATTGACCCGGGATTCCAGGCGGGCGCGGCGCCCCTCCCTCTGAGCGCTCGGCCCCGCCCCTCGCGGCCGCTCAGCGTGGGCGGCGTCACACCCCCCCCTCGCGCGCTTGGTGCCCCTGCCCCTCCCCCGTCTGATGTGACTCGAGCTTGAGGCGCGCAGGGCTGGAGACGCTGCAGATCCGCGACCTGGAGCATCGGAGGTGGTGATGTCGGTGGCTTGCTTTCTCTTCCCCCAATTCGGTGGTAGTGCCTAAGATAACCCATGCGCGCCGGGGACCTTTTCCCGCTTCCCGACCCTCCCCGCTGTACTCCGTGTACGGAGCTACGGGAAGGAGCGGAGGGGCGAGCGGAGGCCCTGCAGCTAGTCTGGCGCTGCACAGGCCGTTAGGTGGGGAGGACGACTGTGCTCTCGAGAGGGTAGAAACCTGTGGTGCCAGCCGCCTTATTTCTAGACAAAGCGCATGTCCTCCCCTCCCCCGTCTCCGATTAGGAAGAGGGGCCTCCCTCCTCGCTGCGCTGCTAGCGGAGTTGGGCCTCCTGGGAAGGCGGTGCATTTTCCTGCAGCGTCGAGGCCTGGCGCGCGCGTTCCCTGTCCCGAGGCCGCGGCGTCCACTCCGTTACGTGGCCGCCGCCCGAGGGGGTGGCGCGGGCCCTGTGGCGCAGTGCCCTTGAGCCCCCGCGTCGCGGCCTTTGTTTCTCCCCGCGGATCCGCTGACCACGAGGCCCGCGCTCCCGGGTGGGGGTGGGTGCATGGTCTTTAGGCGAGGGATTAAGCTGCGAAAGACCCGGGGCTTAGGGAAGAGGATATATAGGGGTGAGTGTCTAGTGTCACGAAATAGGTTGGGGCATGTGTTTTTCCTTTCCTTTGGTTATTCCTAACTCCCAGTTGAAAAGAGGGAGGTTTTCAGAATAGAAATCACCTGGAGTTATATATGTAGGAGACTATTAAAGAGATTTGAGAAGATTCATGGTAGTTGACCCTTGTGAATTTAGTAATCATGCCTGGTTTTGAACCAAAACGTTTGTTCTTTTTTAGGGGAAAAAAATGAAAATTGAATTTACTGTAAATGGGACCTAGTTGGGAAAGTATTTCTCCATTTTTCTCTAGGTAAAGCTACATAAGATACCAGTTTTAACTGTTGTGCATTTTTCTAGTGTAGCTCTTCAAGTCTGCAATTTTAAAAAATGGCCTCCAATAAGACTACATTGGTAAGTTAATTAAAACCTAAGATATGTAAGGATCTAGTTCTAATTTTTTCTCTAAAAATTATAACTTGCATCTCTGGTTGAGAAGTTTATGTACACACGTTTTTCCCAGTTCTCCCCAGTAGTCCAATAGGGGAGAACTGAGAACAAAAACGAATTTGTTAACATTGTCTCCTTTGAATGTAAGTGTCATGTAGAACACCTATAAGATGTAAATTGAGCAACGAATATACTTCTGGTAGTTTAGAAATAATGTTTGAATTATATTCACAGAATTGAAATTTTGGGAGTTAATGAGTTTAAAAAAAACTGATCGAAAACAGGAGTTTTGCTGAGTGTTATTATTTTTAAATAAAACTAATTAAAGAATGTTACATGCTTTCTTGTGTTTCATAACAGGCTGTGCAAAAGTGTAAGAACATGTCTATTTAGATGTGTTAATTATAACACATTGCATTAATAATAATCATAAGCATACAAAGGTGAGTTAACATTTTAAGTAAAGCAAAACATCTGGTTTTAATCTGTATATTCTCCTCTTGGGTTTCACGCTGAAAAGGCAAGTTTGTGATTTTTAATTTGTGCCTCAACCAGATGTACATGATGTCAGATACTCTGGAAAATAGATTGAAAGATGTTATATGAAGCCTGTGATAGACTCTCATAAAAAGCACAATCTTTGCCTCTTAATTCCATAGTCTGTAAACCAAATGTAGGTGATCAAATAGGCTTTTTATTCACCTATACCCTTCCGTTATCCAATGGGAAAGGCATGAACTGTCAGTGAGGCTTTGAGGATGTGTATGGAGAACAGAAAATCAATATACTGAGCAGGGCACAGTGGTGCACACCTATAATACCAGCAACTAGGGAAGCTGAGGCAGGAGAATTGCAAGTTCAAAGCCAGCCTCAGCAGATTAGCAAGGCACTTAGCAACCCAGTGAGACCCTGTTTTATTATTAAAGGGCTGGAGCGTGGCTTGGTGGTTAAGTACTTCTGGGTTCAATCCCTGGTCCAAAAAAAAAAAATCAATACACTGATATTCATTAAGGTGAAGGTTTTTTTTTTTGCACAGACAGTTTATTAGCCTTCGGTGTTTGTGTTTATTGGTATTTTCTGGGTGTTTTTTTTGTTTTGTTTTGTTTTTGTGTTTTTTTGTTTTTGTTTTTGTTTTTTTTTTAGGACCAGATGAACCACTTAAGTTTTTAATCAATTTTGCCCCATTATCCCAGATGAAAAACTAAAAATACAAATTGAATGCTGGGGCATGGTAGTGCATGCCTCTAATCCCAATGGCTTGGGAGGCTGAGGCAGGAAGATCACAGAAATCAGTGTATTCTAAGAGAAAGAGGTTCAAAACTTGCCTCAGCATCTTAGCAAGGCATTAAGCAATTCAGTGTCTTTAAATAAAATACAAAAAGCTAAGCACACATGGGTTCGATCCTCAGTCGTCCCCCCCCCCTCCAAAATAAATAAATAAATAAATTTAACTAGAGCAATGAATATTAACAAATTTTAATGCACCAGTATTGATCTAATTTTTTTCATTTTAAAAAAATTTCATTAGTGTTGTGGGAATTCTGTATGTGTGTGTGTTTTAATAGCAGGAATGTATTTTGGCTCCAAAACCTACCCCATGCTTGGAAGAGACTGCTGGCTTAAGCCAACATATATTTTAAAAGAAAAAAAAAATGGAACACTGTAAAGTAGATTGTCGTGCTAGTAATAAATAAAGCATTTTGCCTGCTGGAGCTTTTTCTTTGTTTGATCCTTGTGTTTCCTTTTTGTTTTTTGTTTTCTATTTTTTTTTTATGTATATATATATATGTTCTTTATTAGCCTTCTTCCTTCGTGGAGTAGCTGTTTTTTTTCTTTTGTTCTTCAGTTAGGATCAATATCAAAGAAACTTTTTGCTGCAGTTTCTTTGATTATTAAAAATCATTAGGAGGGCTGGACTTGTAGCTCAGTGGTTGAAAGCTTGCCTTGCATGCGTGAGGCACTGGGTTCGATCCATGGCACCACATTAAAAAAACAAATAAAATCAAGATATTGTGTCCATTTACAGCTTTAAAAAAATTTTTTTTAAGTCATTTAAGGTCTGACTTGGAAATAGAAACCTGTAAAATCAGATGTTTGATTCCAGAGAATTTTTGTTTATACCCTTATGCTTATAGCATGTTGTTTTACAGTCTTGAGCATTGCTATTTACTTTTTTCTGCTTGCATGCTTTACTTGTGGGATGGCTTTAATGACCAGGTAATTGAGTAGTTCTGATTTTGGGGTTTTTTTGTAGCATTTCTTTTAAGAAAAAATTATTAAATACATTGTGTGAGGCAATTAACTGATTAAATTTTAACTCCTATTTCTCTTAAATAACATAATGCAAAAAAAAGAAGAAACATGCACATCTCTGTTTAAAGTGAATTTGGTTGGCTCCCAATGTAAAATTCTTCCTTTTCAGAAACCAGGAAGGAGTTCACATTAGAGAATTAAAGTGAAAAGCATTTTGGTCTGTAAAAGTGACATTGATGTGTTTGTCCCAAAGGGTCAAGAAAATCAGTTCTTTTTTTTTTTTATATTTTGAGATTTTAACATTGGTTTGAATTGGGAAAGGCATTGTGACTTAAGGCTACCAGAGGTTCTGTTCTGTGTGTAAGATGTATGTGTTGAATGTAGCAATATAAGCAGTATAGCCTTTAAAATGTATTCAAATTTTTTAATGTTTCTTTATTTCTCTTTTAGCAAAAAATGGGAAAGAAACAGAATGGAAAGAGTAAAAAAGTTGAAGAGGCAGAGCCTGAAGAATTTGTGGTAGAAAAAGTCCTAGACCGACGTGTAGTAAATGGAAAGGTGGAATACTTTCTGAAGTGGAAAGGATTTACAGAGTAAGAAACTTCTCTGCATTTTTTTTTTTTAATAACCTTTAATTACAGTCCTAAAAATTTGTTTTTGGCCTTACCTCACCAGCTTTACTATAGAAATCTTTAATTCTAGGCTGTTATTCAAGGTATGTTTTTAAAAAGCCAAGATTTTAGCACTCAACTGAAAGAATGTATTTATTATGTAATACATTTTAATGTAGTTGGGAAGATATTTTTAAAAAATAGTTTGCTAGTTACAATAAAGACTAGATTTAGCTTTTGGTTTGCCTATTCCTGCTATATATCATTTCCAAATAGTCTGAGCACCTACCAGAAATTGAAAACATTGTCTCACAGTTTCGAATTCCTCAGAGTCATTGTTTTAACGTTTTAAAACAACCTTACTATATACCTTGGTGGGAATTGGGAGTTTGTGTTTTTAAAAAGACCCAGTCAAGTTCTTAATTGTGAAACTTGGAATAATGTTTGCTTCAATTCTATTGAAGTCAGGTTCAATTAATTTTGGAGTAAAATGGCAGATTGCCTACTTAGGACAGTAGAGACAGTCACAAAAGAATCTAGACACAATCTCTCAAAAGCATGCAGAGAATAAGGGAGGGAATGATTAGTAACTGTAGTACAGAGAGCTATTTTCCAGTAATCTATAAATAGATGCAGATGATGAACCATGTTTAATTGAATCTACATTTTTGTTTTGCTTTACTGAACACAGTGCTGACAATACTTGGGAACCTGAAGAAAATTTAGATTGTCCAGAGTTAATTGAAGCATTTCTTAATTCTCAAAAAGCTGGTAAAGAAAAAGATGGTACCAAAAGAAAATCTTTATCTGACAGCGAATCTGATGATAGCAAATCAAAGAAGAAAAGAGATGCTGTAAGTATAAAACATTACCCACTATGCTGGCTCTTCATAAAAGACAAGGTTATTTTGTTTTGTTTTTCTCCTAATCAAGTAATTTCAAAATATCATTAAGAAGCCTTTTATAGGGCTGGGGATACAGCTCAGTTGGTAGAGTGCTTGCCTCACATGCACAAGGCCCTGGGTTCAATCCCCAACAGCACACACACACAAAAAAAACAATGTTAAGACTGATGCCTTTGCATTACAGTGAAGGCAATTCAGATAGCATATCCTCATTATAGTCCATTAGTGGTATTGAGCACAAGAAAGTACTTTTCATATGATCTGTGGTACAAACAATACTTTGGTTTCAGAGTATATGGTCTTTGATAACAATAATAGCTTTATAACTTCTGGCATAAATTGAGATATTTGGTTCATTCACTACATAAATACTTTGATCCAGTCTTTGCTTCATTAGTGCCTCGAAATGGGCAAATCTGATAACTTCTACCCTTAACTTAAGAACAGATTATACTTGTCTTACCAACTGGCCTAGCATGGCAATTTGGAGAAGTGTTTTGGTGATGAGTTAGTTTCTAGGCTTAGGCACTAAGTATGCAATACAATATAAATTGGTAAAGGATTATAGATTTGAAATTTGATGATTTGAACATTAAATCCTATCTCTTCAGCATCTGGCTTAAGGAATGCAGACAGCTCTACTGTTGCATTTTATTGCTGGGATATGTTGTTTAGGTGGAGGTATGTGAAAATAGTCCACACTCTGGTACATGAAAAGAAAACTTAGCAGAACCTCTTCTCCAGAAGCTTTAGGGATTCCCAATGATCCTCAGACCACCCATTAGAGAACCACTTCTAAGGTTTTTCCTATTTGCCTAATTCACACTGATTACAATATTAAGTTTATAAAGTATTTAAAAATAATTATTGTCATTTCTAGAACTAAAAGGATTAGTTTTACTGTAATCTGCACAATTCTGCCCTTGATATCTGTGAATGAACAAAGTTGTCTGGGTTTGGTTTTGTTTTGGTTTTTTGGTACTGGGGATTGAACCCCAGGAGTGCTTTAGCACTAAGGTACATCCTTGGCCCTTTTTTTGAGACAAGACTCTTGCAAGGTTTCTTATTAGGGTCTCTAAATTGCTGGTGCTGGCTTGAATATGTGACCTTTCTACATCAGTCTCTGGGGTTGCTGGTATTATAAGCATGTGCCACCACATACCCAGCCAGTTGTCTGCTTTTGGTTCAGTTTTTTTGTTTATTTGTTTAAGCCTTCTACCTAAGAAATAAGACATGCACAACATGTCTTAGTACCATGGCTCTTACTTCAGTTGTTTCTATTTCACTATTAGAAGATTTTGTTGTAAAGGATATATTTCATGAAGAAAAACTAGAAGTTATTTGCTATGAAAAAAGTAATCACCTGACTTCTTTTAAATAGGCTGACAAACCAAGAGGCTTTGCCAGAGGTCTTGATCCTGAACGAATAATTGGTGCCACAGACAGCAGTGGAGAATTGATGTTTCTTATGAAATGGTAAGTGTTTGATTGATACTTGGTTGATTTTGTATTTTTGGTGGCCTGGGAATTGAACCTAGGGCTTCTTG